GAAACGACCTACACTGAGATAAAAATGTCATTGAACCAAAGAAATATTTCCTTAATTCAAGGAATAATTATTTAACTCAAATGAACTCGAATAAATTGGATGCAATGTTTCTTCGGAATTATGACAATTTCTTTGAGACTATTTCAGTTAAATAATTATTATTAAAGTTTTGAGCTGTTTCATAGGGAAAACGTGGAGGCCAGTTGAAATCTGAATTTCGTGAAATTATTCGCTTTTCGATAAGGTACTTTATCAACTGCGCTATGGCCGTACAGGTATAATAAATATCTAGGGAACTGCTTATAAAATCTGACAGACAAATTTAAAACGGATCAATGTCAAACATATTTTACTTTGAAATGATAACGCGACTCATAGACCCCCTAGCGTGTCGGATATCATATTGAAATTAAAGTTATAAATAATGTTTGTCATTAAAAGTCCTGGCGAGTAAAATTCCCGATGGTATAAATTTTCGGAGGGAAAACCAGGGCGTGATTTGGGTCTTGGTTGAGAGGATTCGTTAATTCCGGGATGATGCTCTCGTTTCCTGGCGGCAGTGTCATCACCGACACCTCCGTTGGAACCGACTCATCTTTCAGCCACGGTAGCAATTTCCCGCTGTATCTCTGGTTGACTCCGGCGAAACAACAGGACCTCGTAATCTACGGGAGTTCGTACCTCATCCTTTTGCAAACTGCGGCTCCGGTACGACACCGCGGTAACGGCTCTTCAATGACTTCCTCGTTAAGGGCACAACCTCGCTGAAATTAGGGAAAATAAATTCCTCCCGTTTCCTGCATCAATGACGTTCCCACCGCAACTCCTCCCTTCTAACCCCCGGTTGCAATTTCCTGGTCTACCTTGTCCCGGTTGGCTCCTGGAAACGGCAGGACCTCGAGATCTCGAGGAAGTTGAACTTCATCGCTTCTCCCAACTGCATTTGCATCTCCCTTGAAATAAACGCCCGCGTAATGATTTTCCCCTCGGGGAAAAAGGCAAGAATTAAAGGTAACGCGAACTCGTTAGAGGTCCTTGTCACCTGTAATGAGTAAAAAGTCAGGTGCGCCGTCATCATCTGGACCACCATGAAAGTTCACCAGGACCCAGGGCGTCGGTACCTCCTCGGTTTAAACCTTTGTTACAATCTTTTACGACTTCCCTCTTCCGGAAGACAACAATGGAGGAGTCTATGGTGTCGTCATGGTGGTGCACAAAATTCTCCTCCTCGCATTTACCGTTTTGTATCACATGGTATGTTTCATATTCTTTTTCTCTCGTTCATTTCCCCTCCTTCTAGGGGCGCCGTAAACTTGGTGCTCAAGAAAACTCCCTCGGCTTGCGGAAACCTTCGTTACAAATTCTTACGACTTCCCTCTTCCGGGAGGCAACAAAGGAAGAGCCTACGGTGGCGCACAAAATTGTCCTCCTCGCGTTACGGCTTTGCACCACCTTTAATATTTCACGGCTTTTTCTTCTTTCCTCCTCCATTTCCCCTCCATCTCGCCAACTCTGAATCTCGAGGATCTTTACATTATCATATCGACTCGCTTGACTTCGACTTAGGGGACCGGGCTCTTCTTGAACGGAGTGCACTTCACCTCTTCAGGGTCTCCTAAGGTTGCACTTGTACACCCCGGGGGGTCCTTTGATCACACCTCGTCTGCCTCCATTCGGCGGTCGGCCCCGGTAATAAAATTTATTTTGTAATTCAATTACCAATTAATAAATATTCAGGGTATTAAAATTGACGGCTAATTTTCTATAGGGGGTTCTTTTCCAACGTCGAGCGATGTTTTCAGCAAAAATCTGAAGAACATCCATTGCGGAATACATGTCCCAGGTTATTCTTGGTATGGGATGCATCAATGAGATTTCAACGCATGATTTGTATTTTGACAAGACCGGCAAATGAGATTCTTGCTCCGGGACACCGAAAATACCTAAACCACATTCCAAGGGCGCAACAAAGGGAAGATCTTGCAGGGCCGAACCCTCGGAAGGTATTAGAGGGGTGTTCCCGAAACACGTAACCGGGGTATTAGCACATTGGTAAGATCCCTAAGAGGGGTCCAAGTCACCCCTTCGGCAAGGTATTTTAAGAGGGCGAGGGTGGCTCTGCTCGCAGATGCAGAAGGTGGCACCTCATTGGGCGCCCGCCACCCCTGTGTCCCCTTAAACCCCATTTCCTTTAAAATAAGTACCTTTACCATAAAACGTTCAGAAAAATTCATCAAAAACGAATTGAATATCGCCCAAATCAAGGAAAAACCACGTCCCTTGGTTTTAATGCATCATAAGGATTTTTTTAATCTCATCTATCCGCAGAAAAAAGATTTGGTTCATTTAACAAAATCGATTGATTGACTATATTTGGTTAATTTCAGAAAACGTTCTGGCTGAGTGGACTGAACTTTAGTTCATTCGACCAAACTCGTTTGCTTCAATCAAGAAGTTTCGATTAAATAGTTTTGATTATTTTAGATAAGATTTTTAGACAATAAACCGAATACTTTGATTAAATGTCCCAAATTACTTTAATATTTGGGGTGATCGACCATAATATTTTATGTGATCGACAAAAAATTATTAATCAAAGAATTTAGTCCCGGGCAACCGAATATTTGATTGTTCATATAATAATCATGTTCCGGTTTTGTTAGTTAAATCAACAAAAAATATAATTTCTTCAGTCAAATATTTTTCTGCGTGTAGGAAGGACTCGGCAAGGTGTACAGTTTAACGATGCCTTCAATAATATCTTGAATAATATTTCGATACATTTTAATATGTATCAACCACGCGAAACTAATTAAACATGCCATACTGATGGTATTAAATTCTGAGATTCCGACAAAGGGAATTTCGTCGGCGTCAATCGCAAGGTATTAGGGGTGCTTGCCAGACGTGCAACCAAAGTAGAAGGTCCCAGAAGCACCCCTGCACAAAGGTATTTTAAGATGGCGAGGGTGGCATTCCTTACGGCACCAATTGAACGGCACGTGGATCCGACACCACCTATCAACCTTCTCACCCCTTTCCCGTTTACCTAATTACCTATTATAATATATATCCCACTACATGAAATTAATTCGCTGCACGTGAATCTTTCATTCATCATATACAGTACGTTATTAATACACGCAAAAGAAAATTTCGATTTGTTTAACAAAATAGTTCGCAGGGTAGCATTTTATTCGTTTCAGAAAACGTTTGTATTGAGACAGCTGAGTTTTAGTTCATTCGACCAAAATTGTTTGATATAATCTACTAGTGTTCAGTTGAATCGTGTTTTTAATTTTAGAACTAATTTTAAACTTTAAGCAAAGGACAGTATGGTTGCTAAATTTTTTGTCATACTGCAGGAGCAATCGCACCATCAACAAACATTTTTGCAATTATATTGAATCTCTTAAAAAAAAAAAAAAAAAACAGAAATGCTTGCTAAATAAGCAAACCAATGAGCGATATACAATTTGTTGTTGCTTGAAAAGCGTAATTTGTGTTGCCCCAGGGAAGTAATCGTTTTTCTCATGTCGATATAACGTAAAGTATCGAAAAACGTTGCTGGCGCATTTTCAAGCGCTCACGTTCATTGCAAAGGAAGCATCATTTCTTGTTCTCTCCGTGAATATATTTTCCGGGTCTAAGGAGTGGTTTTCCCTTACCTCTCGTGGAGGAGGAGAGAACCACAAGGCTATCAGTCCTCGGCGAGGTATCAGAAAGTATTAGCACATCGGCGCCCCTGTCCGAAGGGCGAGGGTGGCGATCCTGCCGGTGCGCGAGTCAGGCGGCGATTGGTCGGCGCTCCACCACTGGTGCCTCCCGCCGCGCGCTCCGTCAGCCGCGGCGGCGGCCTCGAGCCGAGCGCCGCCGAAGACACCCGAGGGCGGCCGAGGGTCCCGAACGCGGCAACCCGCGTCCGGTCTCGCCAGTCGTGCCGCGGCCTTTCGCAGGGAAGGTGTATGTCGGCCCGCGCCACCGTGTCTCTCTTGGCGTTCCTCGTACGAGAGCCGCGCCGCGTGTGAGTTTCCTCGTCCACGTTAGTCGTTAACCTCGCGTTCCGTGACATTCCCAGTGGTTCCGAATCAACCCTTACGACCACCGCTACCCGTATAAATTAAAAAACAAAAAAGATAAGATAACCTCCAGGCGACAATAATTCCGAGGAGTACCTCGAGAGCGAGGAAATATTTCGAAACGAAAGAAGGGAGAACCCTCGCGTCGGTCTTCGGCGAAGAGGTTAGGTGACTCGATCGGTCTCGCTTACCGATAGGGGGCGCAAAGGTACACACGCCGCGCTGATATCCCACCGGGTGATAAGAAGAGGTTAAACACGCAGAGGCCTTCGATAGCTCGCCCGCTATACTTTGTCCCATAGAGAGTCCAGGCGTCCCCGGTCCCGTTTCTCTCCGCTCCGAAAGGGACGCGGCCCTAAAGTCCTGGCGCAGGTATACGGAGAGCGGAGGTCCTACCGGGAAGAATAAGAGGAGCAGGGAGGAGCAGAAGGAGAGGAAGAGGAAGGAAGGGTCGAAGCCGGGTCGTCGGTAGCTGTCCAGGCCGAGGGGAGGAACGAGAGAGAGAGGGAGGGAAGTATCGCCGAGGAGGAGAGCAGAGAAGCGGCGGAGGAATTCCTTTGTCCCCGAAGGTCCGAAGGGCTCCTGGCCAGGACGTCGAAGACCCGCGACGTCGCCGAGATCAGAGGCTAATTCCCGTCTCTGAGGAGAATCGCGCCGGAGAGGACAACTGCTAGACAAGAGACCTCCAGGGATTCCGCCTGGAGTTCAGCTACAAACCTTATCGAGCAAAGAAGCCATCGATACGCCAAGGATACCTCGATGAGCAGGAGACAAAGCCGTGGAATCGCGACTTATCGCTGGAGGAGTTAATCAGGGTGAATTAGGTGCAACTGGGAGAAGTATAAGCCGGGAAGTTCCTGAGAATTGTGGGCTTCTGATTACTCCGGAGCCGACGAAATTCCGTACCTACTCGTCCTGGAAACCCTTATATCTACCTCGGCGAGAATAATTCAAAGTCGAGAGTATTCCTCAACATCGGAAGAGCCTCCTTTTTGTGGAGCGGATGTTCAGATCCTGAGATCCAGGGTCCTCGTATCCAAAGTACACCTTTAGAGGAGGGTTCACCACGTGTCGCGCACGTTGCTGAGTCCTCGGCAACGTCGGTGGATGTTTTCCGGTCTTGACGGTCCCGAGGAACCCCGAACTCGCTCCAGGATCGAGGGGTCCTGGGCAAAGGACGAGAGGAGCGTCTCGGCGATGATCGCCTAGCGGTCGAGGAGCAGTTCAGTGTCGGTGCTCCGAAGGAAGAGGTCTAGGAGCGGACCCAGGAAGAACCGGCCGACATGGGGAGGAGACTCGCGGAGGTCCTGCCCGTCCTGGTCAGGACAGCTGTCCTGGCAGCTGTTTTCGGCCAGCTTTTGGGCTTGACCTTGGCGAACAGGCCGGCTGGTGCTCATCCTGGACACGCGTACTTCGAGCAACCCTGCTGCGGAAGGTCCCACCTCAGGCATCACAAAGGTATGGGTCCTGACCCTTTTTTATTCTGGCTCCCAGATTTCGTCCTGCGATCCCGACTTTACTCACCTGGTGCGACCTGGCCGGCATACCTGGAATTAGGGCTGGTCAGGAGTCTCTAAATCATGCTTAACACATTCGCAACCGCTTACGTGAATTCACGTCATTTTAAATTCTATTCCTGATTACCGCTGACGTGAATCACGTCCGTAACGATACACGATACAAGTTTGCGGCGACCAGTTTCAGAATTTCATTATTTTCGCCGGTACTCAGTATTTGAAATGGAAAAAAATTTGCCGATCGCGAATGTGTTAAGACTTATGTTTCGAATCGATTTACCCTCAAAGTATCAATGGAGAGGTGCTTTTTAACCCTTTGGCTACTAAGAGTGCCTAAAGGCGCCCGACGTTTGGTCTAATATTGCCTGCACGGCCAAACAAATTTCGCCCATATGTCGAAATGGCTCCGGGTCAAAGGGTTAATTATTTTCTCCTTTATTTTGTGAAATCGTAATTTCGAATTTCTGATGCGTTGAAATAATAAGTGCGTGCGCGGAATGCAGAAGTGTAACGGGCTGGGAAGTGCTGCTGAGAAGTTGGCTATGTGCAAACTTTTGAGCGTTGTACAAGAATTTCAGTGGATTTCTTATGAAGTTTGCAATACGTGTTTGAATTCCTGTACTTTTGTATTCGTACTTGGGATTGAACCTGATCGGGACGATTTAAATCCTCGCGATACAAATTCTAATTTCAATCCGATCTTTGCATTACGTATCAATAGGAAAACGCTTCTTAGATACCTCTCGATTTATTTCGTGAAATCGATTGCGATATATTATTTCAATGCATCATGATAGCCAATTCATACGCAGAATACGTTGTAGTAATGCGTTGAAGGGTGCTGAGAAAAAAAAATGTCACCGATTTCAGAGTACAATTTTGTACGTGGCTAAAAAGCTGGAATATTTCCAGTAATCATATGCTTTTGAGATCATGTACTTTTATATGAGTTTTATAATTTCGTAATTATTTCGCGACTTTGATATGTAACGATATCGGAAAGCTCGTTATTCCGGGTAGAAGCAGTAACTTTCGCCCACCGTTTTGTTTATATTCCTTTTACGTCCAATTCCCCGTTCAAGAGACCCCGAAGATAAACACGGGTCTTCTTCTAATACATACCAAAACGGCAGTTTTTCCTCGCATTCCTGGACCAGCGAGCTTTCCCCCTAAGCATTATTATTCCTCCATAAACAAAGGCACGTACTGTTCTGCGGCAGACCCTCTAACGTGATGGCATTACGTGTTACGTCTCCCTTACGCTTTTACGTGGGTTACGAAAATTCCGTCGGTGCCGTACATTAGCCTGATTAGCCCAGTTTCGTAATCTTTAATTCATCAGTAGAAACGACTACACGGTGCATTATCGTCCGATACCACGAGAAAGGGGCTTCTCATTGTTCCAATAAAGTCCAATGGCCCTTGACACGTGGTGGCGAATTCTAACTACGCGTTTATTCATTTACTTATTTCTATCATTGATTGGTACCGACTCTTATGGAGAAAATCATGAACAGGAGGAAGGGATACAATTAAGCAACGATGATAATTACCTAACCCAACGTGGAGTCGATGTTACGATTTTATTCATTTACTTATTTCTATTCATTAATCGGTACCGTGTTTTATGAAGAAAATCGGGAAAAGAAGGAAAGGCTAAAATTAAGGCACGATGGCAATTACGGAACCCAACGTGGAGTCGAAATTACGATTTTATTAATTTACTTATTTCTATTATTGATTGGTACCGTGTCTTCTGAGAAAAATCGTGAATAGGAGGAAGAGGTACAATTAAGCGACGCTGATAATTACGGAATCCAACGGGGAGTCGAAATTACGATTTTATTCATTTACTCATTTCTATTATTAATTGGTACCGTGTCTTATGGAGGAAATCATTAAAGGGCGGAAGGGGGGAAATTAAGCCTCGATGACAATTACGGAATCCACCGTGGGGTCGAAATTGCAAGAGGAATTGCTAGTAGGTGCACTTGTAAACGTCTCCGGAGTCTGAGCAGGATCCTGAATGGATTTGGTTAGACTCGAGACAGGCAACTGTCCGCGGTCTTATAGGCTCTGGATGTCTCGTAAATCGACGAGAAGAGACGTTTCTCGGCTTAGACTCGACTTCGGTTCGGATATATTGATGACACGATCGATGCCAGAGTCGATTGTCTATTTAAAATTGCAAATGCGGCCCACCAAAAACGCCATCGATACGGATCGATCGCGGCGATGAAACGGTCATTCGTCTATTCCTTGCGAGTTTTACTCCAACTTTAGGATTTAAAAATGAGAAAAATAATATTTGCGCCTCGGTATATGAAGTACATGTCAATGGTTTATAGATCTTATTAACAGTACAATTAATACGTATTTATTTTAAACGAGAAGAATTTGCTTCGTCAAGTTTTGCATCTAACAATGTTTACTCTTTGAAAATTGCCCCGCATTTTGCAGTTCTTAACTGCGTTCACGGTATACTCTGCAATTTTAAATTCACGCATTAATTTAACACGTTTTTCAGTTTTCTACTAAATTCAGGATTGTACGATAAAATTGTTTAGACTTAACTGAAGGCTTGGGCAAATTTTTCAACTTTCGCCGATCGATGTTAGGTTGTAGTTAGTCTTAAATTGCAAAGGTTAAGGGGACTTTTGGGGTGAAGAATTGTGTGACGAGACTTTTTGCGAGTCATATTTAATAATCGTTACCGAGGCAATTTTTCGTCTTTGTAAGGCCGATCGATCGGAACCTTGTAATCGGCGTAAAGCGTACTCCTGAATGCCGGTTGCTTTAGGGGAAATGGAGAGAATTCTAAGGGAAATCCGAGAGCCCCGTAGAATGGAAACAGAGAATGGGAGAAGCTCGAAAAGGTCGTTTCTCCTGGAAATTTACTTTCTCCCCCCGATCTTCGGCGTTCCTTTTTATCGAATTCCCTTTTCCATTTCCGTCCCTTTTCGAGGATTTCCCATTTCGCCCCCGCGACGGTGCTCTCGTTAAATCGCACGCTGGGAAATTCATTGCTTCGCGACGGCGGATGGATGCTTCTGCTTTCTCCTCCTCCATGTTTTCGTTTTACCTTATTCTTCTCAGTTTTTACCAGAAACCGATATCAGCTGACGGATCGATAAAGTTTCGGCATTCATTGTTGGCTTACGCCGCCTTTATCGGTCATTCGATGGCTAGGAGTACATACGATACGTGGAACTTGAACTGAGTCATACATCACGAGGTGATAATCGATAACCGACGAGTGACGTTCCAAAAAGGAAAACTCGGATACCTAAACGCGACGTCCATCTCCTCATAGGTTCCAATGTAATCGTCCTTTGCTCTAATTTTTAAGAACTCTTAAAAAAAAATCCCCGTAGAGTTTCGATCCGTCATCCAAGTGTCTCTTAAATTGCGCGATCTTCTCGTGAGTCGTCAAGCAAGAAAGAAATTTATTAAGTACGATTGGAGCAAACGAATTTGGTCGATTGATTTGCTCACTTTGCACGGAGTAGTCTGTACCACGTGGATTTGTTTTACGCGAATGAAAATCCCGCAAATGAAGTCCGTCGGTATAAAAGAAAAAGAATATCGTAAATAAAAGCCAGTACACGTAAGTTCGTTTCACAGGTATAATTTCTTGCAAATGGCTTAAGAAAACTAACGACGTTTGAAAACCACATAAATTGTGTTATAATTTGAGGCGTAATGAAAAAGTGCCGTGACAATTGCGGGAGGGGTGCGTATCGTTCCGCCAGTCTCCCGATTCCCTCGTCGCTAAAAAATTCTCCGACCTCCACCCGTGCCCCGTCATTTCGGAAAACCGGGATCCAGAGAATTGTGTAGCATTCCCCGAGTTTGTCAGGAAGTTGGAATCCACCTGGTGGGTCTTCCAGGGGTATCTCTCAAGATGCGGAACTCTCGTGGCGTTCCATCCGGAAGAGCGGCGGAAAGGGAGGGAAAGAGTCTCAGCCTCCAAGGGTATCTCTTCGCGCTCACGAGATTAGGGAAGGAAGGTCTCTCGTCCCGGTCCCGGAATCGAATCTCCGTGATACCCGGCGGATGCGAAAACGTTTTCTCCTCTGACCGCGTTCCTACGGGGATTAAAGGCCCCTTCCTTCGGGATGGCCGGGGCGAGAGAGCGCGTCTCGCGGTAAATCATTTAGGAGAGCAGAGCCCTGGCCGGGACGCCGGAGAGGAGAGGGGGCCGGATAGAAAAAGAGGAGAAAAAGGGAAAAGGGAAACCGGGGGAAGAAAGCGTAGGGCCCAGAGCACGTTAGCATACATCACCAACATTATCTCTACCGGCCCTGCCACGCGATGTTACCCCGGGCACGGACCCTCGGACTGACTTCATTATGCGCCGGCTAGAGCGAGAGACCACACGAGACCCATCCTACGGGAGGACGGAGCGAGAGAGACGGCTCCGTGATGGGGGGAAACGACGAGAGAAGGACGACCGAATGGAATGTGGAATGGTCGGTGCATGGAAGCTTCGCCGAGGAGTGCGCCGCGAGTTCACTCGGGACCGTGTGGGTTGCATCTCGTGGGCAACGCCGATGTGCACCCGGGCCGACTCCCTCTCTCTCTCTCTCCCTCTTTCTCTCCCTGTGTGTCCCCGGGCCTGTAGGACCGTGAAGGAGGTTTGTAAACTTCGAGGATCGATTAGCGAGGCTCGAAAAGGTGCCACGGGATGCTGCCCTACCAGGTCGAGGCTGGGATACCCGCCACCAAGATCGGACTCCCGGAGAGGGGGGATGCAAATTATGCTGGGGATTTTGCACTTTTTCGAAAATGTGGAGATTGTATCGGGGTTTTCCGGGTAGTTTGTAGGTTTGTAGGAGATTAAATATGGTTCGCAGACTTCGAGTGGCGAATTTTTGCTCGGATCGATTGACCGCGGGTTAATGCAAATTATCCCAAGGATGCAGTTTTTGGGGATTCGTT